GCCCTCCGAGCTGAAATGCAGGCATCTCGCTGTTCTGATGACACTATCTCGGACTGTGATGGCCACTTTTCACAGCTCACGAATACCAAACAACCTGCCAAAGACTCCGTGCTTCCCCACCGGACACGAGGGAGCCATCCAGGATAAGCCCAGTCCCTCATTCCTCTCCTGCCACTCCTGAATCTCAAAGCCACGAAACAACAACCTTGACAGAAAAGACAGCACCCCTCCAGCTGACTGCTTCCACAGGGTTCGAGCCATTAGCACAAACCCAAAATAACAAGGAATAGCACATTTTTTCTGCTGACCATGAATTTCTGTATCGGTACCAAACCCACTCCATAGAAGCACCGGGCTGGATTTTGACCGGCTGAATCCCGCTCCCTCCGAGGTTACTAAAGACCAGATCCTAGCAGAACTTACTCTTGAACGCAGCACAAATGAGTCATTACAGTCCTAAAAATAACAACGGAGAAATTTCCAACTAAAACGTTGCCTAATTAACCATGAATACTGACAAGTGGAGGGGGGGGGGGAGAAGGGGAAAAAAAAAAAAAGGAATCTCTGAGTTGTTGTGGAGTTTTGAAAGCAAATTTATTACTACTTTCTTCCCGGGTGCACTCAAGTTCTATAGGAAGAATATTTCCATTTCCATCCTGTATTATAGCAAAATCACCCAGAAATAATAGAAGAAATTTCCTTTGCTGGGTATATAGAACATATGTATCTTTTTTAGGTAAAGCTGAATGAATTTGACCAAGATGGAAAGCTCCAAAGTACTTTTCCTGCCCTCTTTGTATGTAGGCCTATACATAATTCATCCCCAAATCACAATTCAGATTACTTTATGGTGCTTTTAACAAAAATGGCAGAAACCTGAGGCATTGAGTTTTCTATGAAATCCCCCTGCAAACAGTTTTCAGGCAGTCCTAGTATTAAAACCTACAAGTCTCTAATTTTTCTATGAACTGGTAAAACCAATCTAGGTTTCTGTGGTTTGCATTTCAAACTGCAGTTTAAACAAACAGCTCAGAAGCCAAGATAAGACCCACTTTCATCTCTTTCTCAAGCCTTACATAAATGGCTTTGTTATGAGACAGTAAAACTTCTGGTCACATTTTGTTCTGAAACTCTGCAGATCTTGCTATTTCCATATTTAAGGAGCCACACTGGATCTAACATAAGACTCTCATTTTTCTCTTCACCTCCAGGCCAGCTGGCTCCCTTGTCCTAAAAGAAAGGAGAAGGCATTCTTAGACTAACTAATCTTACAGCAGTTACTCCAGGAATCCTGCACCTTTGTTAAATAAATCCTGAAACTCGCTGACCCACAGGAAACCCCCAGAAAATGCTTGAACAAGGACTGAGACACATTTTCAGTTATGGAAGATCCTTAACCTGATCTGGATCAAGTCAGTTAAAAATCCTTCAAAACTAAAGAAACAGTTTGACTCTCTCTGTTGACTGGTTCCCTAAAAGCTTTATGGGGAAAACGCCAAAGTCATCTGAGACCTTCTGAAACTTTTACCTCTGTCAGCTTTTCCAAATTCCCATACAGGAGCAACAGCTCCTCCTGAATGGAATGGGTCACATACCATTCCATCAAGTTTTGATCTAGGACTGACCTGCCACCTTCCTTCCCTGTAAATGCCCCTGACCACAAGAGGAATTACACCAGGAATGAATCAGCTCCAGAGTCACACCAATCTTTGCTACGAATTTGATAAAACACCATGAGCAGAGAGGCATTTATCACATAAACCTTAGAATCAAAATGCCCCTCCCTCCTTTACAAGAGAAAAAGAGATTCAATAGATTCAATAGATAAATTAGGCATTTAAAGGCTGACACACAAATCAATGAAAAATTCTAATTTGAAGTCTACTACAGCTTATTTAGCTTCTTTCTTGTTGACAAGCAATGCAAATTCACCTTTCTTTGTGCTTTTAATGAAAAGTAAATGACATGACATACCATGAGTTTCATTGTTCTGAACAATCAAGCTAAGTACAGAACACAGTGGCAGCACTACTAATTATTCCTCCTTTTGTTAATCTGGAGTTTAACCTTAACATCATTTTGCAATACCATTTTTACTGAAGGGAGTTGCTCTTTAGCTGAATTCCTCTCCAACACTCTGGCAGGAATCAGCTTTGTAAGGAAACTATGCTTCTGCCTTTGTGATCCAACACTCTTGAAGGGGTTTAACTAATTCATTACAGTCATGGAGAATGATGTAGAAATAGTATATTTTTTTTTCTAAGCTCCATTTCAGAATAGAAACACCATTAATTTAAAAGGCACATTTTTGAAACAGCTTCCCTTATCACTTCGTACCACAACCAGCACTCAAGAACAATGTGAACTGAGACATTTCTCTTTTTTTTTTTTTTCCCAAGTTGTGCACACAATTTTACTTCAGTTGCATTTCCTATACTGGACTGTCCTAGTGTTTTCTGCTCCTCTTCTCATAAAAAAAGTGAATTCAAACATTTCACATCACATCACTGAGAGAGACTTTTAGCACAGGGAATCCACAAGGAGTGTAGAACTACGACCACCACCAGTGTTAGGAGGCCCAATATTGCCCTTCTGTTGAGCAGTGGCAGATTAAAACCCACTGAAAAGTCCCATTTTCCCACTGGAGGAGAGACCAGTATAAGGCATTCAGAACAGTTTCACATGCAATGCATTAATCTACAAATCCATCAGTTTGAAACAGAGAATATCCCAAATTGCATACACAAAAAAAATTTTACTTGCAGAATCACTAAAACAATTCAAGGAATCTGATAGTTTGGGCCTTACCTTCACTGGAGACTATTCAGGCAATTCAATTTTCTTTTCTAGAATGAAAAATCTCCTCTATTAAAACCAATATATTGAGTTTCTTCAGTTGTTCTTCGTAGGCCCCCTGAATAATTTTTTACCCCTCTGACAGACCCTTTCCAGCTTCCCAATATCTCTGTGGATCTGGAGGGCCCACCACTGGGTACAATATCCCAGTTGTGCTCTCACTGACGCCAGGAAAGATAACAACTGGGCTCCACCTGGCCATGGCCTCCAAAGGCAGTACATTATATGGTTTATCTTACTGGCAATGAGAGTACACTTTGGTTCACAGTCACTTGGCATGGACTGTAGACCTCCCAGAGCTGTTTTAGGTCCTTGTGAAGAAGAAGAATGCTAAGCCCTGCTGGCAGACACAACCTCACAGCCCCTCTGAGGGTGCCCTCGGTGGCCCCAGGAAAGACACACGGTGAGGAGGAGAGAATATGAACCCCTGCACACAGACAGCTAGAAAAGTTTAATCTCCTCTTTCAAACCTAAGTGTAGTGACACAGTCACAGCCATACTCTAGAGCTAAATACCTCAACAGGTCATTTTCAGCAGCAGGACATTTTGCCAGGACGTGCCATTCAGTTCAAGCCAAGTCAAGGCATGTCAGCAAATGTGAACAAAGAACCCCTCAATCATTTCTGGCCAGTGAGAAAGACATCCAGTTAGAGATCTCAAGCTTTTAAATCTCACACGAGACATCTTGGCCTTGCTCCATTTCGACGTTTGAGTTCATTCTGATAAGATAAAACATAATTTTGAATGCACCGAAGTTGCTGCCAAACCAATTGTTCTCCTATGGACAGCACGGCTCCATGCAATTTTAATAGATAAATAAAAGATGGCCAGTGTGTGTGCATACAGTTCTGATGTTGAAAAACCCATTAAAGCATGAAATCTGCAGATCCTTCAACAAATGAACAATTGTATGCACAGGCTGTCCATGTACAGTAGCACTTTCATGGCAACAGCTCCAGTGTTTTTCATACCACACATTTTTAGACCATTAAGGCCTTGATGCTGTGATAATGACACAATTTCCAGACAGCAGCAATGTACTTTGTGAAACAATTTCAAGTGTAATGTTTAAGCCACTGGATTTATAGATGCAGAGCCTGTGCAGGTATGAAGTACGGCTCAGGTGAGCAGTCCATTGGCAGGGGCTTATCTCTTAAAAGAACTAAAGCACACAACCATACCAGTTTACATTACTGAGAGAGAATTCCTCAAGGAAGAGCAATTATGCCATTTAGTACACAAAATTCTCCCGCAGATTTCAGTAGTTTCTCTTGGGCATACTTCTTTTCACTAGAAGGAATTTACTGCACGACCTAGTTTTCCTTTCAGAGATGACTAGTCACATGCACACACAAAACCCAAAAACTCTCTAGGAAACACAAGGCTACACAAAGCAAGTGAAGGTATAAAAGGAATGGATGCCAAACCCAGGAGAAACGAGAGAGCCACCTTACATCCACCTTTCAGAGATGGAACTGACCAATGGTATATAAAGAACAGAGCTGAATATGCCCTTCTTACTCCCAACGCTTCTCTTTCTGAAGATGCTCCCAATATCTGTATCATTTTGGTACACCCTGTGTTGCAGGCTGTGAACTCTTTGCTGTGTATATCAGCAAAGGAGGTAGCAAAAGAGCATCTTTGTCTTTGACTAAACCTCAGGATTCAATCCTAGCAAGAGCCAGTGATTCCATCAGTTAAAAGGAATTATCAGCTTAGAGAGATCCCTCGTAGAACACCAAGAGGCACGGATGGGCTGACATTCCTACAGCTCAAAGCATTTATTTCCAAGCTCAGCATTTTAAGAAAATGTTTTTTATCCTGGAGTCAGATGCCTTCTGAAATTCTGAGATACTCGCTGTTCTGAAGGAGTACTGAAAAAAATAACCGTTTCACAAAACAGCCAGTTGCAAGAGTAAAAGAAAAAAGCCTCCTCTTTCCCCCCCACCCCCATCTTTAAACTGCTGCATATTCTACCCACCCTCAACAATAAATTGTAGACATGCAAGATCACAGGACAGATATTTGGCAGCACAGCAATACCATATTTACTTCAGATACTGTAGAATTGGGAGGCAAAAATAAGCAGTTGTACAAACTGCTGCATCTACAGTTTCTTGTAGATGAAGCACTGTCTTCCTCACCTTTCTTCCTCCACCACGGCCCTTCTTGGATGGAGTAGGACAGTTCTTTAAACTCAATGTTCACGGCTGGTCTGCGGGGTAGGTAGGAGAAACGGTGAGCCTCTGTCAGAGCATTGTCCACCTTTTTTAAGTGTCCATTCATGAGCCGAATGTCTTGGGTGTCTGTGCCATTGGAGACCACTTCGTCCACCGAAACACACACCGACTTCGGCTCGGCCATGGTGCACCCGGAACTGCTGCCGTTCTGCAGGGAAGATGGAGGGAGTTCAAAGACTTCTGTTTAGGAACACATTTCAAACCCCCCTGCACTTGAAGAATTATGATCTAAATAACACAAGAATCCAGCACAGTAACGCGCTGAAAGGCGAAAGAGGAATAAAATAAAACAATCTTTTGTTTGTTCTGCCTGAGCATTGATAGAAGAGGTGAAAGAGCTCTTGCAGCACACAGTTCCTTTAGAACTAGTTTCCCTTTTAGGCCTTGCACCAGATTAATACATTTATAAGTTCAGTTACCATTGTATTTGGTTTCTCATGCACTCAAAGAATTTGGTTCTAGTTACTCTGGTTCCAGGGCTTGTACTGGGACAGAGCCGAAGGGGGAAGGGAGCTGGGTGAACAATTATTTGTGCAGACCTTTCAAAAGACAGCCACTCAAAAAGTCTAAGAGCTCTGATCCTCTGGATCAGAATATACTCTGCAAATGTGAAATGTGTTTTATTTCTGCAAATTTTTAAATGTACTATTTTATGCCTTATTTGCTCCTGCACTGATAGTTTTGGAGACTTTGCAACCTGGAACAGTACAATTTCTTTGGCTTTCCACCCAAAAGCCCTGTGTGCTTTCCTTGCTTGATAGTGATCCCTAATGGAAATCTTATCAGCTACATAAACATATTAAACCCTGCTCCAGTACTTGCACAGCTGACACTGTAAGGTCAACTGTGCTCACAGCCATACCTTTGCTGTGCTTTGCCCATTACAGCACTCAGTGCAATTCCACTTGGCATTTTTTGGATTGAATCCCCTTCTCCTCCTCTCCTGACCTCTCATGACAAGGGCTTTTCAGTTGCCTTTCTTTTCTTTTTTCACTATGCACACAAAATCTGGACTTCTTCCATTCCTTTTACCCTCACAGGTACCTTGCATCAATATCAACAGAATGTGTGTAAGGTCAAAAGCAAAACACTCATGAATTTTCTTCAGCTGAACATACTTTTGAAGAGTTCAGAGGCTGTTCACTGTCATCTGTTGTTTGGAGGGTGTCATAAGCAGGGCCCAACATCTGCACATTTGTCTATTAGAAAATTCAGTATTTTTAATGCAGATCTGTGTTGAAAAAGACTTCTGTAGCTGGCCAGGATTTCCATGTTGGCCCATCTGCCCAACAATCTACATGTCCCCAAAGGTATCTCTTGGAAATCATATGTGCTGCACTACTTTTCAAGGCACTGGTGTTGGACACCCCCAAACAGAGCTGCAGGTCCTGCCACTGTTTCCCCCTCTTTGTCCTCCAATGCAACTAAGAAGTCACATTGCCTCCTCTTCACTGTGCCACTTCCATCCTCTCCCTCATGATTTCTGTCTTCCCATTTATGCTGCAAAAGCAGTGCAGCTCAAATCAGTCAACTTGTCATGAATGCTGATGAAAACATTAAAAAACAAACAGTCCTACATAATCACCGATGAAAAAAAGTAGTCCTACATAACCACTCTGCAGTTAGTGTCTTCACATTCATGCACAAGCACCAAGTTCTGGATGTAAAAATCAGCTCTGCTTAACACATTTTCCCAAGGAAAAGATTTTAGCTGTGCTCTCAACTTACTCAGAGGTCAGGTATCCAGTAACACTTACTCTCAATTTCTTAAACAGTTGACTGCAATGGTATGTAATTTGAACATAACAAGAGTAACGTGAAACATCTCAGAACTCAACAATCAAAGCAAGGAAACCTCCCTTTTCCCTAAAAACCAAGAGAAGGCGAGTTAACAATATTCTTCCCTGAATGTTTCCAAGGCTTACTTTGGCACTCATAAGCTGTTTTGTTCGGAGGAACCACTGACCACCTTCACGCATCAGAGGGAACACCCAAAAACTAACTCTCAACGAGCAGGTCACCTTGATTATTCAGGTGACAGTCAGAGCTCCTCCAGTTTGGATCAATTCAAACACCAAGCATCCTTTGGACAAGCTCCTTGTCTCTAACTACTTAATCATCCGGGAGTACGAAGCCAGAGGTTTTTGCTGCCGGGACAATAAACAATTTCAATCACTCGGTGGACAGAAATGCCTGTTGTCAGCAGCCTTTTGTCACACACTTGCCTCCTCTCCAGGGACCACCTGCCACGGGTGAGGGTCCCCCGAGCACCTGGCACGGCACCAGTGGCTCCCAATCGCTTGGAAAGAGACGGGCAACTCCCGTGGCCACGACACCCACGGACTTACCCGAGCCCTTCGTAAGGCACAGACACACCTGAACCCTCCGTATGCCCCAAACACCTGAACCCTCCGTGTGCCCCAAACACCTGCAGACCGCTGTGATGCTACAGCCCCGCATCCCCGACCCCTGCGCTCCAGGCACGCCGAGAGCGGCTGCTCCCCGCGACCCCTCCGCTCACCTCTCCGCTGCTTTTACACAGTTTTGGTTATTTCCCATGTAGTTTCGCGTCTCCCGTGAGGGGCCGGGCCGCTCGGGGCGCCCGGCGGGGACGGCAGCGCCCGCCCGGTCCCAGCGGCAGGAGGGTCCCGGGGGCTCTGCCCGGCCCGTCCCCCGCGGGCACCGCGCGTTATGCAAAGGTTACGGTCCCTCCGCAAATCCTCCGGGAAGCCGGCGGGGCGCAGCGGCTCAGGGAGCATGCTCGGCGATAATCCCCCCCGCCTTAGCTACAGACAGAGGTAACCAGCGGTCAAGTCCCGCCGTGCGCCGCCGGCCCCTCGCACACCCGCATCCCCTGTGCATCCCGCACCGCGCATCCTGCATACCGCATCCCGCATTTGGACCACCCGCCGGCCCCGCTTGCCACTCGGGGAGCGTCTCAGGAAGTGACTCGGGGATCGCCCCGCGGACCCCTCGCTCCACCCCCCCAAACCCCGCACCCCTCGCCCCCCGCCCGCCCCTCGGAGGGAGAGAGGGCAGGGCGCGCCTTACCAAAGCGCTGCCCAGGGAGAAAGCCGCCATCAGACATGCCATGTGTCCCTCTGCCCGCCCGGCTGCCGGCGGAGGAGCCCTCGAGTGCCGCCTCTCCGCCCCGACTGGCTGCGGGAGGCGGGCAAGGATGGGGATGGGGACTGGGATGGAGATGGGGCCGCCTCCGTCCCGGACCGCCCCCGCCGCGGGGATGGGGAGAGCCGGGGGGTCGGGGAGCTCCTCCGCCCTGGGGAGGGTGGGCAGCGCGTCCACATCCAGCGTGTCCCCATCCGCCGTGTCCCCATCCCGCGGATGGACGTGGCTGTCCCTCAACCCAAACAGGCGGCAGACAATTGTGCAGGGGGCTGCGGACCGAAGGTCGCTCGCCGGGACATGGGAAGCTCATGACAGGCACAGGTCACCCTTCGCCCGGCTTCCCAATGGGCTCCCGGAGGGGACTGGGATGGCATTCCCTGAGGAAACGGGTTTCGAAGCACCGTCTAATTGCGCCCTGTGCCGACCCGCCCGGGGATGAGGACGAGATGGGTCTTCTGACCCTGGGACTCGCACGCCATTGATTTACAAGCGAGCCATTGTGGTTCAGAAATGGAGAGGGAGGAAAGTTGTCACTGAGTTACAGTCCCTGTTCGTTTATTCCTCAAATCAGAGACCTGCATTTCGGCAGGGTCACACAGTCACAGAATGGGGCAGATTGGAAGGGAGCACAGTGGGTCATCTGGTCCAGCTTCCCTGCCTAAGCAGGGTCATCCCAGAGCATATGGCACAGAATTGTGTCCAGACAGTTCTGGAATATCTCCAGTGAGGGAAACTCCACATCCCCTCTGGACAATCTGTTCCAGTGCTTGGTCACTGCACAGGAAAGAAGTTCTTCCTCATATCCAGGTGCAACTTCCTGAGCATCAGTTTCTGCCCGTTGCCTCCTGTCCTATGGCTTGGAACCACCGAGAAGAGCCATCCTCTGACATCCCCTTCAAATACTTATAAAGAGAGGTCCTGCCATTAGGGCTGTGTTGGCACTGCTGGTTTGAATCTAGACCCATGACTGTGTTTTGATTTAGATTCACTAACCATGCTGCCTGTTGGCAGAAGACTCTGCCCAACCACTTCACCAAGAATCCAGGTACTGGAAGACCCACCAACCCTCTGAGTGCCCCCATACCCGCTGGGCCTGCTTTTGGGGTTTGCTAAGACACTCTGGAAGTAACAGCAAGAGGGAATAAATTATAATAGGTTGTCCAAGAACTGGATTCAAAGCATCTACGAAATATTATGTACACGAGTTTATAATCTGTGAGGAATCTCCCAAGCAGGGATCTTGCCATAATGCTTCGTACTTGTGTAGCATTGTACAGGCACAGCAGTAATCTTCACAAAGCCCCTGGAGGGTAGGTAAGTATTTTATCCTTGCTGAGCTGTGGAGGGGTGTTTACTGCAGGCAGCAGGAAGGGAACTGCTGCACAGAACATCTGTGCCAGGTCAGATGGGGCCCATCTCCTGCAGTACCCTCCCTCCTGGCAGTGGCCAGGAGATGGATGCTCAAACAAGCGCTTAAGCACAGGGCTGGCTTGTATCAAATCTCTCCCTGTTACTCTCACAGCCTACAGCCCTTTTTGGCTCAAGGATTTTTTGATGTGGTTGTCCCTCCTGAATGTGTTAATAACCCTCAGTATCCCTTCCATGAGACAAGGCTCCCCCTTGGAAACACAGAAACTTTTATCATCCACTACAACCTATTGTCAAGGAATAGTGTGGAGACTTACTAAGCCTTGGATTCAGTCCCTAGATGTTGCAGAATGTTATTTACTTATAACTTGTGTACTGATGAAGAAATATCTACCTGCTGTGGAATACCACACCAAACATGGATGGGCCCACCCAGAAGTCCTCACTGAAGGCTTAAACTGTGTTTGAGTAGAAATTTCAAAGATTATTATCTCCTAATATTGGGAATAAAGAGAAATTATGGTGCATTCTTCAAGTGAGGGTCCAGGGTTTTAATTATCTTGATTCAGAACATGTGTATAGCACCTAAAATTTATTCAAGCTTGTGTCTTGTATTTTCCCTTAGAAACATTGAGAAAGCTGCTTTATCTTCCTACAGGACCTGAGAAGGGCTGTGAAATACTGATATATATGCTTAAGACATTTAGAGGGTAAAACATTATTATTTAACTGTGAGGTGGAACTAGATACAGAGAGAGGAAATGTACAGTACTGAGATCTGCTGCACAAACAAAAGTTTCAGCTGTCTGTAAGCAGTTTGTGGTCCTAAGGTACTGCCTTCCACAAAAGTTTATCCTGGGCAAGAACACACGATCAGATCCTCAGGACTTATTTTCATCATGGTGGCTGCAGTATCAGTATCTACAGGAGCTTCTTGTAAAACACAGAGGCATAAAACAGGTTTATCAGAAACCAAGTTCTATTTGGTATTTTGGTATCTATTTTGATACCACACAGGAAAAAAAAAAGGATTACATAAGATGAAGCATGCTAAAAATAGCCATCTCCTGCATTCCTACATTCCCTCATTAACTCTTCCATTAACTTTATAGGTGATCCCCTTGTCCCTGCAGACAAAAAGATCAAGAACACAACTCTGTGGGAAAAAAAAAAGAAAAAAAAAAGGAGAGATATAAAAAGGGTGTTTTCAAAAAAAAATCCAGGGCAAAAAAAAAAAAAAGAGAGAAGTTACAAATGAAGGTGAGAAAAAGCAGGCAGGGACAAAACTGAACTCCCAAAATAGATAAGGAAATAGTAGTAGCTTCCAGGCTTTACAGCAGGATAAGCATTACAGACAGTAGATTGGTGCAGCCCACAGGAAAGGAAAAGAACATTGCAAGCAGAAATGCACTGAGAAGGGCAGGGAAAAGTGGAAATGCACCAACGGCAAGAGAGGGCAGATTTACAGCAGAGCCACAGGAGGCATTTTAGTGCAGCACTGATGGCTCTGGTGTCTCCACAAGAACTAGTTTATGTATAGAAGTGCTACAGCCTGGGGAAATGCAGAGGCCAGCGTGGACTTCACTGCTGAGACAGAATGTGTGGAGAAAGTTCAACCAAGAAGTGTGGAAGAGGCAGATGAGAAAAAGAAAGTTAGAGCTGTAAAAGGCAAAATATTTTAGACTGGATTTTCATTAAAAACATGCCTCAGCTTTAATAATTTGCAACTTGCTGTTAATTTAAGCTGGTCTGGACAGAGTTTAAGGAAGTCTATGGAAAATATTCAAGGATAAATCTGCATGAAAAGTCAAGCTGAGAGCACAAAGAAACAGCCTATTGTGAAATTCTCATGCAATTATTTGCCTAAATAAAAGCCCAACAACAACAGTTTATCCTGGAGCGTCATTTTGCCATACTGGTTTGGATTGTTTCTGAACTTCTTATGCCCTGCCCCAATCATTTCCATAGGTTTAGGGAAATAAAAGTGGAAAGAATATAGGTTTGAACAGCCTAAAGATGAAGTTTAAAAAAATTTCGTGGTCTGATCCTGAGCAAGGCTGAGCCCCTGGGTTCCTGGCAGCTGGTAGCTGTGGGTCTGCATTGCCCTTGGAAAAAAGGACAGAGGAAAGGAAAGTACAGTGAGGAAAACAAATCAGTATCTTTCTGGAAGAGAGTAGTTTTAACTAGAGATATTTTCTCCTTATCCTGGAGAATTTGGCTGGCTTTCCTGAAGGAAAGTCTGTGCTCTGCTCTGGCTCCTTGCCTTCTGCTACTGTGGGGCTTCAGCTCCCTCTTGGGCACAAGGCTCAGATCCTTCACAGTTTTGTGTTGCACTGGCGGAGATGTGCTGGGGAGGTCCTACATGGTGTCCCCACCACCTGTGGCCTTGGCAGATCCACATTCCAGCAAACCAAGCTAAATGTTCAGTCCAGTCTCTCCATATTTCTGTGATGGTTCCCAGTGTCCCATGAGCTCTCCAGGCAGGGCAGCCGTGACAACCACTGGTTGGGATTGAATCCATGACCTCGGCATTCTTAGCACTGTGCTCCAAGCAACTGAGCTAAATGCTCAGCCCCATTCCCTGTGGTCTCCCTACATCTGTGTGATGGTTCCCAGTGATGGCTCCCAGTGTCCCACAGGCTCACTGCTCAGGGCACCACAGAGGGACAAGGCCCAGCTCTGCCTGTCCTGTCTGTGGTTCACCTGCATCTGCCCGAGGTCCACCTGTGGGAAGAGGTGGAATGGGATGGAAGAATGGGATGAGGTGGCTGCCTTGGCACAGCACCCAGGCAGCTCCACGAGGACCCATGGAGAATGGAGCCCACGCTGGAGCAGGTTTCCTGTAGGACTTGTGACCCTGGGGGGGACCCACGCTGTGCCTGAAGGACTGCACCCCATGGGAAGGGACCCACATGGGAGCAGTTTGTGGAGAACTGTTGCCCATGGGATGGAGTCACATTGGAGAAGTTCGTGGAGAACCATCTCCTATGGGAGGGACCCCACCCTGAGCAGGGGAAGGGCTCCTCTCCCTGAACAGTGGCAGGAACAATGTGTGATGAACTGACCATGATCCCCATCCCCATCTCCCTGTGCTGCTAGGGGGGAGGAGATAGAGCTGGAAAGGAGGGAGCTGTGGGGGGAAGATGTTTTTAAGGTCTGCCTCTTCCTATCTTTATCATGCTCTGATTTTTTTAGTAATAA